CGGCCCCCCGCGGGACCGGCTGCCTTTTGCCCAGGAGATTCGCCCAGCGCCACCCCAGCACCGTCAGGAGCCCCTGGAGGGAACAAGACCCAGGCGAGGGGGCTGTCATGGTCACCCCCAGCCCTACATGGCCCCCAGACACGTGTCCTCCCCCGGAAAGCCGCTGCGCCCGCCTTGGCTCCTGTGAAGCACCAAATAAAGAGGTGGCTGTGGTGTTTTCTAAGCGGACTCTGTGTTTCTCCACGACGCTGAGCAGGGCAGCAGGGACAGAGCAACCCCCCTCAAGCAGCCCCATCTCCCCCTTGCTCCTTCTGCCCCTGGCCTCTGAGCCCCCAGTGGGACAACTGGTCTCATGCGTCTCCTTAAATACAGGTAGAAATTTATTAAGGGAAAAAACACAGCTTTTTAAAAAAGTATCAAAAAAGAGACAAATGAGGTGAAGTCTTGCCTGTCTTTGGCTGCAGCAGCACCAGAGGAAGAGGGCGAGGGGAAAACTGGCCAGCGGGCGGTTCGGGGGGCTCCTCAGCCAGCCCGGAAAGCCCCGGGGCCAAGGATGGCTGAGCAGGGACAGGGACCGAGCCGGCAGCCCTTAAACACTGAGCCCAGCTCCCACCGGGTGGCCTGCACCTTCCACCTCCTAACCCTGGAGAGACCCACTCGGGGCAGACACAGAGCAGCCCCAGCGTGGCACAGAGGAGCCACCTGGGCTTTGTGCCCCGGCTGGCGGGAGGACAGAGGAGAGGCTTTGGGTGCAGCAGGAGCCAAAGGAGAGCCTGGGGGCGTCCCGAGGCGCCCCCGCAGCAGGTGCTCCTTGCTTCCTCCAGGATCATTTGACAGGTGAAAGGTTCCCTATGTCCCTGCCCCACCTTTTGAAGAGAGGACAGAGATAACACTCAGGCAGCAGTGAAAAGTGGGGATGCCAAAGGCTTCCTGAGGGGTCTGAGGGCAGGTGGCGCTCGGCCGTGTCCTGCCTCTCCTTGGGCTGCAGCAGGAGCCCAGCGAAACCATCGGCACGTCCTTCCTGGCAAGGGTTGCTTCTCCACCCTAGCAAAGGCATCTCCACTGGAAGAAGGGAAAAAGAAGCCACCTCCACCCAAATTCCTGACTCGCTATCCAGTGAAGAACCCGCTTCGAGGAAAGGCTTCCTTTGGAGGCCTCGTGGAAACAGCAGAGTGGGACTGAAAAAAATACCATGAACCTCGGCTCTGAGCAGCTCGGAGCCGCGGCGGAGGTGCCGGGGAGCCAAAGCCAGGGATGCTGGCGGGAGTCCCCACGGCAGCCCTGGGCTCGCACTTGGGAAGCCCCCGTGAGCGTTGCCGAGAGCCGCGTACAACAGCGAGCGCCCCTGCGGAGAGGGGGTTGTGTTCACAGCATGAGGCAGCCCCCGTGGAGCTGCCAGGGCCTGGGGACGAGCGACAGGGACGGAGGGGAGAGGGGCAGCGCCAAGAGCCGGCCGCTCCGGCACGGAGGCACTGTTTTTGGGGCTTCCCAGGCGAGGGCCGGAGGCTGCCGGGCCTGGGCTCGGCCGTGGGGAGCAGGACGCCCCGAAGCCTGACAGCTCCTGTGGCGCTGGGTCCCTCCCGCGTGGGCAGATATGGCTTTCCAGAGACACGGGGCGGCCGCGGCCGCAGGGCAGCGCAAACCAGGGGTGCTCCGGCCCTGCTCTTTCCACATCCTGGCACGTGCAGGAGCCAGGAGAGTGCAGGAGCACAGGACGTGGCACCCGCCTTGCTGCGCGGGCACTCCTAGAGCACGACCCGCTCTGCCCCTGAGCACACGCTGAGCCTGACCTGCCCCGCTCGAGCGGTGACACCGCTCCCTCCGCGTGCCCCGCCGCGGCCTCGGCTCCTCGTGGGGCTCAGTGCAGCACCTGCTCCAGCTCGTACTTCTCGCAGAACTTGCTGGTGAAGGGCAGGCAGGTGAGATACTCGATCCAGCGCCAGTTCACGGGGTAGACGTACAGCCAGATCACGAGCGAGGCGAAGAGCCCCACGAAGACCAGCAGCGACACAATGATCATGGCCCGTTTGCGGTACTTGTCCATGGTGCCGAAGGTGATGTAGGGCAGGAAGGCGAAGGACAGCAGGAGGCCACTGAGGAAGCCGAAGAGGTGGGCGATGTTGTCGATCCACGGCAGGAGGCCGCACACGAAGAGGAAGAGGACGATCCCGAAGAGGTTGAGGAAGGCTTTCCATGGCTTCTCCAGGACCTGCCAGCTCTGGAAGAGCTCGACGAAGAGGCAGGCCAGCAAGCCGAACTGCGAGCCGGCCGGGGCCCACA